AGCTTCGTCGTAGTTGAAAGGATTCTCGTGTATCACGCAATACGCGCAGTATGTATCACCTGCACGCGGCAGTCATTGTTAAAATAATATTTCAATGTTTTCTCGGCGCAGAATTTTCAACGATAACCTTGGTCGTAACAATAAAGAGAGGTGGATAAAAAGAGGGAGGAAAAAATTGCACGACGCACAACGCGATTATCATCGGCGTAACGTTTTAACAAACTCTATCTCGGGCAATTGCGCTTCTATAATAACCGACTGCGAAACTAATCTAATAGGTTCATCGCTTGGTCACATGAAGCGATTCGTTGATGCTATTCCTCGACATATACTGTTTCAACGTTAATACGCTCTATTCCGTTAATTCTCTTGTAATATTCGATGAAATTTCACATGTAATTGTAAGAAAAATTTACGCGATTTCGAGTGCACATCTCATGGTAATCTCACGTGAAGATGTGAGATTCGTAAATATTGAAAAGCAAAAAAGTTGAACATTTATTTGTGAAATAGAAGTTTACTCCACAGAAATAAATTTTATATTCCACAAATGAATTTTCAATAATTTTTTTCTTCGTGTGAGAGATCGCGCTATTATGTTTTGAAAATTTGTAGATAATTGTTCGAATTCGTAGAAAAATTGCTCGTAGAAAAAATGTCTAAGAATCAGTAAATACTTATTTGATGGATATACTAACAGCATATTTACTTATATTTACTCATATTAATATAATAACTATAATATGTTTCAAATAAGATAAGATAATATACATTTTCTTAAAGCCTTTAGGAAAATTTTAGTTTTTCATGTAAGCAATTTATTTATTCTATATATAATAAATAAAAGAATTGAAATATAAGTAAACACGCTGTTAGTATTCTCACCAAATATTTACTAATGTTTAGATATTTTTCTCTGGATAAAATAATTGCAAATACACAATTATCACGCTATGATTGACGCGGACGATAGAGCTGATAAAAATAGACAGCGGCAAAAGGGGAACAGCGTATTTCTCGCGTTACAATCTCTGTCATATTCGAGAGCTATTAATAATCGTGCATTGCGATCAGTTTTCTTGGCACGCATCGGAAACGCTCTCTTCCTTTTCTGCAAGCGCGCGGATTTATTTACTCCTCTATCACCGAGATTCAGAGACAGCACGTGAATCTTTCTCCCGCGGCTTTTCTATGAATGAGATCTAAAAGTAGCGCGTCTCTCGTATGTCCGTGAATGAAGTAACGCGTATAGCCACGTAAGAGCAGCCGGTAGTTCTCTGTAAGACGTGCTGTTGTGTTGTGCGTCGTGCAGTCGCGTATTTATATATACGATGTCTATTCTGTGTCAGTTTAGAATCCCGTCTTGAAACGGAAATCCCGCGAATTCATGTACAGCGAAATTGCATTCTTCACTCTCTAAAATGCAATCAGTGTGTTCTATACTGAAATGAAGATATTGCACTTATAATTGGCGGCTCAGTAAGTGCGGCATTGCAATCAGTAAAATCTTGTTGGGAGGATTAGTTAATAGTAATGACTGTTTTTATTATTGATACTATTATTTACGCTTTGCAGACAGTGTCATTGCACACTCGCGTATGAAAACCGTGAATTCCATCGTCGCAAATCGTCGGCAGAAAGTTAGATTTGATTAACGAATGTGCGTATTGCATCTTGCAGTGAAACCTTATTTCCACTTTCCGTCAAAATCGATGAGAAATAAGACAGAGCAGTAAAGTAGGAGTATCTGTATCTTTATTCTCAACTTCAGCTTCGTGCCAAGAAGTTTCTAGTACATTCTTTTCCTTATATCTATACGCCTTTTATCTTTTACATATTTTTTGCTTTTCTCCCACCTTAATCTATTTATATCTTAACCTATTCCTTTTTCTCCTCTTTCTTCCTTATATCTTTCTTTATCCTATATGTATCTTAACCTATACTGGTAAATTCCTTTCCTTCTTGGATTTATTATCCTTATATTTCTTTTCCTATACCCTCGGAGGTTTTGCCACGCCTACCGAGGGGACAGTAAAGTGGGAGTATTTTTACTGAAAATCCGGGAATACTCATCAGTGAAATAGATCTTTTGCTGATTCGATCAGAAGCATTTTTATGATTGATTTGTAAATGACTCACATTAAGAGAGCACGATTGCAGTGAAGAGATAAGTCTTCCTCGGTTCGCGCACAAGGAATTTAATTGCAGTTAATTCGTCGTTATCGATTTTTCTCTCGACTTATCACTCTCGCGTCACTTTCCCGCGGCATCTAGATTGCATTTTGATTGGTCGTCGGTGTCGAGACTCTCGACTCATCGATTTCTTCCGCAAAGGTGAAGCTGACCGGTGGGTTGCGTTTGTTGTTTACGTGGACTAAGGTTAAGGGTCAATTTAATTTAAAGGGTAATTCTAATAAAATCTCTCTATCTATCTCTTTCTTTTTCCCCGACCGGAGGCACTCGAATTTCTTCTTGCAGCAAATGCATTTATCGGGAAGTTGCGTCGCACGATTTACCAGTAGATTGCTACTAGACTATTTTGCCCCGCATAAGAGATTCCATGTCCTCTCGTAATCTACGAGAGATCTACGAGAGACACGTGCGAGATATGGTATCTTCTCATCCATTCAGCAGATACGATTTTCCAGGTAGCTCGATCAGAGACGTGTGATTACGAAAATCGAGATGAAGATCTATTCGCACTTAGCAATTAGCTGAGCTGTTGGCGACTCGATTCTGAGTATTGTTTATTCATGCTCACGATTGTTAGGCGTGACATCTTATAAGTTAACGGAACAAAGTCAGCAGAATCAATTTTAACTAATGCTTTTATTTGTTGCTCATTTGTTGCTAAGAAGTTGTCAAACAAAAAATTTGTTGCTGTTAGTTTTTTTTAAAAAACAATGTTCCGCTATTTTCCGCTCCGCAAAGGAAGATTAGTTAGCGGAACAGTAAATAACAACGAAACAATAAAAAATCTAATATTATAATAGCATAGGAATTTGTTGCTAATTAGTTGCTCACAAAATACGCTAGTCCCGAATATATCGCTCCGCTATTTTTTTGTTTTTATTTACATACTGTTCCACTAACTAATCTTCCTTTAGCGGAACATAGTTTAAAAAAAAAATTAACAGAGCAACAAATTTTTTTTTGGCAACTTTTTAGCAACAAATGAGCAACAAATAGTAACATTAGTTAGAATTGATTCTGTTGACTTTGTTCCGCTAACTTATAAGACGTTTAGGCGTGTCTAGTAGAATACTCTCGTCACGGATATAATAGGTATTTATTACTTCAGCTACATTGCCAACAAGGCCTCTTGCCAACAAGAGGTTTACAAACCACTTAACCACGCTCATATATCCACATCTTATATCGGAACCTTTGTATATTCTCATTCTAATATCACAGTAGTTACAGCCTGTACATTTCACAATTTAAATTGCCACTTTTTTATTTGTGACTATTATCTATACTCATTGTGGATATGAACTTGAATGAATGTGCAATGCACAGTGAAGAATTCTTGCATGATCCGGGCGAAGCGCCGTTTATCGTGGGATACGAATAGCTCGCAATCGTGGAAAACTCGGAATGTCATGGAGAAAACGCCGGTCGTCGCTCGTCGTCGTGCAGGATATTTTTGCTGCCGCGCGCGGAGGAGACACAAAAAGAATTCCACGACCCGTTTTGTCGATGCGTCGGGTCTATTAGATAGATAACTTCATCTAGCAATTTGCGATGGCACTATTGAGCAATTAAGTCTCGTTCAGTTGGTGTTCACACAGTGCAATCGGCACACAGTTTCTAAACGCGATCCTCCGTGTGTGTAACATTTTCCTCTCTGTCTCTCTTTGAGCGCAGAAATGTCGAGTCATAGACATTTTTTTTTATCGTTAGATCGTATTTAATAACGGACATACATGTGAGCGACGTGGAAACGCGGCAGAGACGAGTCGAGATATCGGACGCGTAAAGCCGCGACATTGGAAAACATCGGAAGAGAGACTCCGTTTCCCTGGTATAGCGCTCTTTATTATTTCGTTTTTGGAATTCGCGTTATGAGCAGTCGTATTACGGTGGATTCTTATTCTTCGAAGCGTCACGAGTATTGTTGAGCAAACATCGGCGAGATATATACGCTTATTCGAAAATATCCCGCGGCCAACTGCAACTCAGAATCTCGAGTTTCTTCGTTCCGACGAGGAAAACAATGGTGGCCCACCATCAGAGGAAACCCGATACATTTTTGTTTGATATGTTGTGATTTATTCAACACGTATATTCCCTAATGGAAATGTAGTTTGCGTAGACATCCGCTTATTACCTGATATTATCGCATTTTCATTAGTTGTAAATATATTGCGTAAGAACTCGGATCAGATTTACCGGATTTTTCTATCTTTATCTAGGATACATAAAACTACAAGAAGATCCTACAGCAAGTTCTCTAACTAAAGTTTATGTTTTATGTCCATGCTTATGGCAATTCATGTGCAAAAGGCCTTACATCTTGATTCGGATCCCAAGTAGTTTTATTCTTCAGATGATAGATAAAAAGTTGACATAACTGTCCAGTAACTATTTGAAAACTGTATCTACCAAGTTTTTACCAAGGTTTTATACCATCATATTTTCATACCGAATCGTTCGCTCCGGCCTCTCTTCCCGTGCGAATTTTTAGATTCGCGCGAAACCTATTAATAGACATCCCTAACGATTTCTCACCGCGCAAGTGCATTCAACTGTGAGTGATACAGTTGTAGAGTCAATCGATAGGGCGGAGGGGGGAGACACATTTAGGATATCAATTGTATCCCATCGGTGATGACAGTTCCATCCAAGTATCACTTGTCATCGTCAGGTCGGATGAGAAGGTATATCGTAAACGTGCATTGCGTAATGCGACCGCAGGTGATTTCGTTAGGCCGCGCCGCAAAAGCCCCGCTAAGTTGTCTCTTTAGTTTTCCTTAACGATTGTTGATTTTCCTTTTCAGGTGTAGTCATGAATAATTCACTCGGCTGAAGCGGCCAACGGGAGTTTCTCGGACTTTGAGGCACCGAGGGAGACTTTTGAGCACGGCATCGAGATGGGCGAGCTTTTAGGATCGGCCAGCTTCCTCCACCTCGGCGATATCGTCAGCCTCTACGCCGAGGGAAACGTGTCCGGCTTCCTCTCCACGTTGGGGTAAGTGAGAGACGAGCAGCGAGAGAATTCCTCTCCGTCGTGGAGAAATACCCTCAGGTGCATTTAATCGCGCTGCGACACGGCAGCCCTTTTAGCGCGGACTGCAACGCGGACGTTATACATTTTCCATACTCTTCAGCCCGCACTCGACAGTAACTACGACGGGGCACTTTGCCACCCGGTGTTTACTCTTTCGAAAAGAGCCCGGACATACGTCCGACGTAGATACATCAAAGGGTTTAGGAGAGCTCAGTCACGGCTAAATTGCGCGCGTCAGTCGTAATTGCATTATCACGCTCTCTTCCGGTAATTCTTCATGAAAAATATACATTTTTCATACGGAACAATGTATTATATATTGATTGTGTTCGACGCACGTTCACGTTTCATTTAATGCGTTAAATATATAGATAAAACGTAGTAATTATTGATAAAAATTAAAGCAATGTTTTGGGGGATATTTGTGCCGTGCTTTGTCGAGTTTTCACTTTCAAACGGAATCGATTTAATGAAGCAAAAGTAGCACAGTTTCATGTGTTTAATATAATGAAACGTGATAATTGTCCGATAATTGTAATTACGCGAGAATGATTCAACCTACATGAAGTTTTGAGAAAAATGAAGAGGAAAAAGTAAAGAAGAAAATTTGATACATAATTTAAATAGTATTGAAATAGCACTGAGTTTCTTCATTGTTCAAGAGGTCAATTTTCATCTCTTTAAAAGGATGTCATACCTAAAAGCTTTAAATATTGACCTTTTCCTTTTGCGTCGCGAATTGACTGCGCAGAATTACAAATGCTTTTACACATTGAATGTACGTGCAATAATGAATTGGAGCATTGTTCACTATGTGATGAAAACGATAAAAAATTTTAAAATTGAGAAAAAATAGAAAAAAATTTTTTTAATTTTTAAAATTAATCTCAAGCGAAGTTGACGTAAATATTTACTTAATACTAGAGTTCTGCAGCTTATACCACACGTGTTTGATTCGCTAACAAAAAATTTAATTTTTATATTTTTATAACTGAAAATAGAACCTCAAAAAAAAAAATACGGAAAGTTTGCAGAAAGATTTCTATAAATGCGTGGTTATGTTTTCTCTTAGTATAAAACAAAGTAGCATGCATTTATCTATAAATACGAAAAAGATAGTATGATCATGTTAGTGACGATCTATGTTATCGATATTTTTCGAGTTCGTTGTCAACTTCAGTACTTCTTTAGAGTATAAGCTTAACTTTTAAAGAATGGTTAAAAAAGGCGTAATTAGCAAAACATTTTACAGCTAGTAGAAAATAAAAATTGTTTTTTTAATTAGGCGCCCATTAGGCTTGGATTTTTTTGGTTTCATGTAGATATAGCCTCATTGGTGACAAAAATTCGGAAATCATAATTTTGTTGGATTATTCCTGCATAAATATAGCCAATTAGCAACGAAAATTCCAGCAATTCTTAGGGGATTTTCGTCGAGTTTTCGTATTCTAACAGAGTCGATTTAATCGGCAAAACTTCATCTCAAGAATTTTTACGTTGTTTGAGAGAAGGAAATTCAAATAACTGGAGCCTATCTCAATAGTTCGTTGCATTGGCCCGTGCGTGTAAAGCCAGCCGGCACTTGCGAAATCTAACTCATTCGCATTCTGCGTGCTCTGACGCAAATATATATTAGATATTTATCTGTTGGGTTGTTTTGCATTCTCCATTCGAGGATACCGATTATCATTTCCGTTCTCGCTGCTACTCTGTTTTTTCCTCAAGGGTTATTTTTTCCTTCGGTTGAAATGATTTACATTGGTTTTTTCATAATACAAAAATTGTAATATCGCAATTTATGAATTGATTAATGCCCAACTTTGATCATGCTAGAGGAAAACATAACCACGCATTTATAGAAATCTTTCTACAAATTTTCCATATTTTTTATGAAGTTCTACGTTCAGTTATAAAGATATAAAAGCTAACTTTTGTGTTAGTCAAAACAATTTTGCCCGACTTTGATTAAAATAATCAGCAAATTGATAAATACTCAACTATATAATAAGTAATCAGCAAATTGATATTAGTCAATCGTCATATATAAAGTCACAAATAATTTCATTAATTGGTGAAATTAATTATTAATTTGTCTATAATCAATCAAGTTGAATTGATAGTTAATTTATGCATGAATCGATTAATATATCCCACTTTGGCTAAAATAATCGGCAAATTGATAATTGACGTTAATCAATCATATATAAAATTACAAATAATTTCATTGATTGGTAAAATTAATTACTAACTGGTGTATAATCAATTACGTCAAAGTTGGACTAATAATTAATTTCATCAATAGGTGGAATTATCTGTTATTTGATATATAACGATTGATTAATTCCGATTATTGATTTGTTGATTATTTTAGTCCAAGAAAATTTTCATCGATCAATATCTAACACTGGTTGTTAGCTTGTCGTTGTCGATTATTGACTGATCCTGCGTCCTGTATTCCGTCCTAGAATCAATTTTTCTGGTCGTCCAGGCACTCGACAGTCCTACGCGGAAGTGAGTCGATAGAAAACACAGCGTTAGTTAGTAATTATGAATTAACTTTTAGAGGGCCGGCACTTGAGGTATCAGATTCCACGAAGAAAATCGATAAAAAATGTACTTTATATCGTATATTCATCGTATACAAAATAGTGGTTTCGGCTTTGGGGGGTAAAAACAATGTTAAAATTTGAAAATTTGAAAAAAATAGGTTTCTAGAAGTTTTCGAGGTTGCTGAGTAAGATGGAACTATCAATTTTTGTAAATTATGAGAATTTATAGTTATATCGTTATATAGTTATATAAGAAAAAAATAGAAAATAGGGGAAAGGGAGAGGGATGGGGGAGGACAGTAAGTGTAAACTTGTATCTGGATGTGTGAATACCTATACATACATAAGTAGATAAGTGTAGAACATGAATGCAACTAACTATTGTCTACCACCACTACAGTGGTTTTCCGGCCCTTTAAAGGTTAATCGTCGAATGCCGCGGGCGAAATTTGCAATATATACAGTTAACCTAATAACCTTGACGACTTCACGAAGGTCCAGGATTCTTTTGTGGGTGTGGTTGTAATGATTTCTCTCTCTTTCTCTCAGCCACCGAATATACATATTGCAACGACACACGTCGAAGGGGGAAGGGGGAGGAGACGCATGAGAAGTAACTTTTTTTGTTCATTATTTTGGTACTCTAGCGCGTCACGTAATTTTCCGTGACCGACTCGCTCGAGCCGGTGAGCGACGCATAGATCACAAACGCGTGTCGACAGGCTAGTTATTACATGTTCTCGTCGGCGATTTAAATATTTAATCGTGTTCTCGTTAGCCTCGCGTCACTTAACACGTTCTTGCGCTCTCCGATCGTATCGTATCTGCGCGAGTGTCAATGCCATGACGGTGTAGTGCCGGGAAACACGATGCTAAATCGGGAAAGCCGAGACGGAGGACGCAGAATGCTGGGACACAGGTAGCGATATATTGTATATTTCCAGGCGTGTTTATATCTAATAATTTATTTATAACTTACTCCCGGTGTAATCCGAGTCGAAATTTAGATCGATATTCACGATCCGTCGTTATGTGTAAATCCCTAGTTACTCTGTACCTGTATTAATATATATTTATTTTAATCTATCGGTAGTTTCGGTTATTATTATTATTAGAAATCAGTGAAAAAATCAGTTATTCAGAGATTTCAGTTCACTAGTAAATCAGTAATTTCCGTACCTATTTCATACAAGAAAAAATAACCGAGTAACAAACAACTCATGAATACAAATACGTTATTAATTTCTAGATAAAAAATTGCGTGTGTACGCTAAAGAAAAAACTATCTGAAAAATCAACAAATATTTTTTTGATGGGTGTTATTAAGATATTTACTTAAATCTAAATTTTCTTTATTTAAATCAAATATTGTTTACCTGATTTAAGTAAACAATATTTTATTTAAATAAAGAAAATTTAGATTTAAGTAAATATCTTAATAACACCCATCAAAAAAATATTTGTTGATTTTAAGGTAATTTTTCCCTCAGTGTACGTAACTATCAGTTATGTATACCGTCCTTCAATCGAAGAAAAAGTCTTGCAAATATTGAATGCTAATAGTAATGCTCCTTGAATCGCAAATTCTATCATGAGTCAGTTAAAACCTTCTTTTCTTCTTATATATACCCAGTCTAAATTTAGGATTCTGTTGGTATACAGTATTGTTGAATGAGCAAATATACTATCATCCTTCTTCAAACAATTTGGTCGTTCTTAGAATTCTTCCAAATCTTCAAAATTCATCGAAATTTCAAACAACAACATTTCTATTAATTGTTGTATTATAAAAATATTAATTATTTAATATTTGTTTATTGCACACACTTTATATTAAACATAGTGTTGTATATTTCATTTGTGCTTAAATTTTGTCGAAAGTTTTGTTGTTGGATTAAAGTGGAATCAGAATTTCGATTTGGACATTTATTGCCGCTCGTTAAAAAATTTCGTGAGTGTATAAATCATTGACTCTGTTAGTGAGGATGAAAAAAAATATTATCGACTTATATATTATAGCGTTGAGTATCGACTTTTTTTGCGTTACGGAAACGGATGCTGAAAGCTGACGAGACATTTTTATAGTTGCTTAAAGATGTTCATATTCATATTGTCAAATCTTTAACCCAAACGTGTAGGCTTTTTCCAGCGAACTTTTCTGCGTATATACGGAAGAATCCCTGTTCTGAAATATTGAATCAACGAGTTAATTGCATAACATTAACACACACGCGAGTATTGCCTCGCTAGTTTATTACTGGTTTTTCCGGAAATGTCTTCGGTAGGTTTCGTGCCGCTTACATTACGTGTTTCGTGTGCATTACATTATTATCGCGTAAACAATAAGTGCGCAATAACATAATGCGTAAGCTTGTACGAGAACGTGGACGGTAACGTAGATGCGCGTTTTGA